TAAAAGTGAAAGCAAATTTTCTTGGTGCTTCCTTTTTGTCTGTCTTATATTAAGCGAAAAAAAAAAAGCTTTCACAGCTGGCATTTTGTTGAAAGAGATGGTTAACAATAGGTTGAGAAACCTTGGATACTTTGACAAATGCAGGTTTAAGGTTTATATTCCATCCACCATCAGCAGACCAACTTCCTAGATTTATGTTGTTCTGCCCTTGGACAACTGAATGACATAAGTAGTTTGTGAATGGTATAAAGGTGACCAGTTGTCCCAATTTTAGTACTGAAAATCCTGTGTTCCCAGAAATCGTTGGCTGCAGGCAAACTAGACAAATGGTTAAACTAGGTTACATTGCGATTTAGTAGTTTGTAGCAGACAAGAGAAGAACCCACTTGGGATGAGAAAATGGGTGGACCTATGAACTTAGGAGACAGTGTTTTGGAGTGTTACGTATCTGGAATTGCATACTAACTGTACCTTTCTGCTACCTTAGTCATCTTAGGTTGATCATCTCCCTGATCCTGTAGAAGGTCCCCTGAAAGCTGAGTGTTTTTTGTTTGAGCCAAGCACTTGCTTTCCATCTTCTACTTGTTAGCTCTTTCATATATTTGGTCAACAAAGTCGAAAGTGAGAATTGTGTGCCTGAATAGGAGCTAGGTGTCAGAGAGGCAGACTGAGGCCCAACATTCCTGCCTCCCAAGTGCACAATTCAGGGCCCTCTCTGTTGCTGCAGCCACCTTGGAGGCTTTTCAGTAGCAATCCAAAGTAGGACTTTCTGCCTGGAGAGTCCCATGTCAATGGCTATTAGAGTGACTTCTCTTTCCGCGAGACAGTAGGCTGAGTTCTCTATAGATAGCCTTTCAGACTAAGAGAATTAGACTTTTGTCACCCTTCCAACTTAAAAAGCTGCTAGTCTTTTTCTTTTTCTCCACTTGAAGTCCCAGCACTGTCACTTACCAGCAATATAGTCATAAACAAATGACTTACCCTCCTTGTTATTTGTGAAGGAAGGATAGTAATGTTTCTCACCTCATGAGTCACATGGAGGATTAAGTATGGTCATTCCTGTTAGCATAGTACCTGCCACAGAGTAAACAATAAGTAGAACAGAGATGATGTCATTCTTTATATGTGTTGCAGGTCAGTTCCTCTCTTCCCTTTTCCTAGGCTGAAGGTCTTAGAGGGAGATGCTACCTCTCGTTGTGTTCATCGGTTTCTATACCCAGCCCTTGCCTGGTAAAGTGTAGAAGCATAAGAATATTGGTTTATAGGCTGGTGGTGATGATGATACAGTCTATCTGGATTAATAAGGCTAAAATAGGGATGTAAGTGAAAGTCCCACTGAGCTACATGCCCAGCCCTTTTTATTTATATATTTTGAGACAGGATCTCCCTTAAATTGTACAGTTGCCCAGACTTGGTTTGAACTTGGGATCATCCTACCTCAGCCTCTCAGAGTACTGAGATTATAGACATGTGCTTCCATACTCTGCTAAAAACACACTTTTGCAAGTAAAACTGTAAACATTTTGAATGTCGCTACACTATACTACATTTATCATAGTATAGTGTTCATTACTTGTTCATGCATCTTTTACACTCACTGGTTCTTGCACTTCTTAAAAGTGCAGAGATACTTTTTTATATCTGCCTTCCACTGCAATATCTATGATTGTCCTACACAAAGTGGTTCCTACACAAAACTATTATTAGGGCCAGACAGAAGCCTTGTAAATACATACGATTCATTTTTCCTTCCTGGCTGTATGATTGCCCAAGCACGCAGCTGTTTGTAGAAAACTTCCTAGGGGAATAATGAAATGGGTGAGGGAGAAGGTGAGGGGCAGGGTAATTGTCTGTGCAGCTGTACCTGGAAGCTGGTGCTTGGATACATTGTCAGAGACCCTTGGGTTGGAATTGATGCCATCAACCTATAATGTTGGGATTATCCCTTAACAATTGTCCAGAAGGTGTTTGACATCACTTGGGTGTACTTGCTGCAGAATCTTGCCAACTAGGTACAGACTGGGGCTTCTGTCTCATGCTTGGGCTGTTAGGGCTGGAGATTGAGGTCTGGGATTGCTGCGTGGTATGAAAAGGTAGGAAACCTCAGTAAAGTCCTTTCTGCTAAATCCTCAGAAAGTCTTCTATCAATAGCTTCTCTTTTGCATCCTCAGTGGCTCAAATTAATATTATTGTGTGGGCTTATTGTTAAAACAGCTTGTATGGCTGCGTAGGAAGGGTTCCTCCAGAGTCCTGTTTTGAGTTTGGTTAATGTAAGTCCTTCTTGGTTTTAGGCAGGAGGCCTGGGCAATGGACTAGCACCATTTAAGAGGTATTTTTATGGTTAGTTCAGTTTGATATGTCCAGTGCCTTGGGTCCAAGAATCTTAAGGGGTCTGTGCCTTTTTTTGCAAGGATCTGAGGCTGGCTTGTTCTTTAGTTTTGTAACAAGGGAGTCACTGAGTTTGAACATTTAGTTTGGCTTCATCTGTCCATTGGTGAGGAAGGCAGTAGCAGGCAAATTTAAACACTGAGCTGCAGGGGGAAATCCAAAGGCCAAGTTTTGAGAAACACTGCTGGGGATGCTGACTTGGTGCTGGTTAGGGCAAGAGCTGAAACGCGTACTATTTTATAATAAATACTAATAAAATTCCAGATCTATAATAGCATTTCAGATATCTAAAACAAACCATGTGCTTGTAAAAAAGTGGAAAGAGATCAACTTTAAGCCATAAATTCTTGGTAATAGAGGGTTTTTTCCTATTTATGTTTGATAGATATTTTTGTTTCCAGAGGAATGTCAACTCCTAATTTCATAATGTATCATGGGCTTAAGAAAATTGAATTTAATAAAAGCCAAAGATGAATGGCACCCTGAAAGGTCCCAACACTTGTCTTCATTAGCAGGACAAACTGCAGGTCTCCAAACACTGCTTCTCCCCAAATGAAAGTTTAAATGAAAAGTACAGTTGTGTCACAGGTTAAATTTCATTGCGGGCTCAGCTAACATTGTTAGTGAGGAGCTGGCTGTATTTGTTTCCTTAGATAGTAGGGCAGCCAAACTCACCAGGCTATGGAGCTCTTTATTTTGGGGGAAGTGCTTTTTCCAGTTAGTGGGGGAGGAAAGATTTGTCAGAAATTTGGGAGTCAAATGAGTCTAATTCAAAGAAACTACACCTAAGAAATCTTGGGTATCTGATGTTTTAGGAGGAGCAGTGTGTATGATGTATGTGCTCAAATTTGTTTCTCAGGGCAAAACTCCTCTCCCCTTAGCCTGCTTTGTAATGCTTGTAGGGAATAAAATGCTCAGCAAAGTGGAGAGTAAGTGTCTTCCTGTCTTTGCATTGGAGGAGAGGTCTCACCTTGTGGGAACAGTGCCGAGGCCTCCTCTTTGTCTGCCTCTCCCTCAATCTTGCAACTCTTTTGCCCTTCCTGTATCTGGCAATAAGCTCTTGTCAGCTTCCTCATCTTTTGGGATCAGCCCAGGGAGACCAGGCAGCCAAAAAACCTTTGAATATCTCTGGTATGAAACCTGACTGCCTTGCTTTGGTTTTCAGTCTTGGTGTTATGTGTTGAGTTGAAATAGATGCTTTAAGAATAAGCTCAGTATTAGTGGGTATGTTCCTAGGGAGAGGGAATAGGGAGATGTGGCTTCCCTGGGACACTGAGATTGACTACTTCTTTTGTCTTCCCACCCATTCATTTTCTCGTTGCAGTCAGGTGTCATCAGCTGTGGCCATAATTCTCCAGGCTGTCTCTGCAGAGAACCAGTTTGCCTTGATTTTACTGATTCTGAAGAAGTCTTCTCTAGAACAGGGCGGGCTAGGGTAGGAATACCCCTGGAGCAGGCTGTTGGGGCCACCAAATAGCCCCCCTTCTCGCTCTGCAGTGGAAACCTTTTTCACATACTAATTTTAGTTGGAGGATTTTGCTTTTATTTATTTATTTTTATTATTTCCTATTTGTCTCTTCCAGATGTTTTCAGGGCAATTTTTTTGTGTTGTAAACTAATTCCATTCATGTTTTAAAAATTTATGAAAGTGCTAATAAAAATGTCAAAGTGGTAAAAATGTTAGCTTTTCCTCTGCTTTGATTAAATTTTGCAAACTGTTTTTGAATATTAAAAAGCAATATTTTTTTCTTCTCTCTTCCTGTTTTCCCTCTTCTCTCTGGTGTGCGCGTGCTCTCTCCTGCCCTCTCCCCTCTCTGGTGTGTCCCTCCCTCCCTTCCTAGGAGCGATGTATGAGGCGTGCTGCACAGCCAGTGTTCTGCAAGCCTGTTTGCACACCAGGACCTTGGTGCTGTGCATCTCTATTAAATAACGGAGACAAATTAATCTTAGAGACACCAAACAAATTGTCACTTCTCCTCCTCCTCTTCCATTATGTTCCAGTGGATTGGGAAGGGCTGGCTAAGTGATTGGGCAGGGAAGGGGGATGGGTACTGCCTGAAAGAAAGGTAGGAGGCACTAGCTCCTATTACTTGTGTTCAGTTTTCTTGGCTTATTATCACTTTTTTTTCTTTATAAAGTGAATAAACTCCCTGGCTTTTTCTTTATAGTGAATAAACTCCCTGGCTCTGTTTAAACTTCGTACAGGGAAATCTACACGTTGGTCTCGTGGCAGGTTGTCCATGTGGCTAGAGACCCAAACCCATTCCAGCACAGGACCTGTGAGAGGAAATGGGCTCCCTTTTTTAGAGGCTCAAGTGAGCAGGCTTCTACTCGAGAACCAACTGAAGAAATTGGGGCCGAGTACACCACTGTCTTCCTTCCCCTTTCCAGACACAGTGGGGATGAGAGGTATATACAGTGTTTGGAACCTCTGAGGCTATTAGCAGCGGAAAGGTTAGGATTATAAGTGGTGCTAGCATCTTCTTATTCAGTCTTGGATTTGGCCTTCCAAGAGTAATGAGCCCCAGTCATTCTTTTTTGACTTGGAGTTACTGTTTGAAGTGGTTGATTAAAATAACTTATTTCTTTTTCTGTGTCTTTTAACATTCTAGGAAATCATTGAGTTCCCCATCCTGAAGCTCAATGGTCGGACCATGGAGATTGAGTCTACCTTTCACATGTATGTCCAGCCTGTAGTCCATCCACAGCTTACCCCCTTCTGTACAGAGGTAAGGGCCCTGGACTGTTGGAAAGGACCTTTGGGATCACTGATGTTCTCTTACAGCCCTTAGAAAGCTTAGTCTAATCAGTGGTTAAGGCACGTGTACATCAGGTCTGGCAGTTTGCTTTCATAAAGTCCATGACCCTACTGGAGTCACGTTGGTCCCTGGGAACCAAGGAAGGCAGTGGTACAATCTGCCTAGCTTCTTTGACATTTTCCTCCTGTACCATCTCTACCTTTCCCAGTGACTGGGCGGTTGAGGAGGATGGTGCTTCTGGGGTTCAAGTTCTTTCTTGTTCTATTTCCCTTAGGGTCTGTGGGCAAGAGGTGAAGATTTCTGTCACTTAGAAGGAAATGTTACATCAGGCTTTCTTATCTATCTGATGATATTAACTTTGTCCTTTCTTGAAGTGGTCCTGGGTGGAACATAGATTGAACTTGTGAGAAGCATATTCTGACAGTGATAAAGAGAAGACAGGCTGGCTAAAGCAGGCCTGTCCTTGTTAGGCTAGTGCTGTACTTGGCTGTTTTGTCAGCAGGTTAGTACTGAACCCATTCTATAATTGTGAAATTAGAGGTGAGATTTTGATACTAGCTGCAGGCTCAAAAGAGCCACTGACAGAGGAAAAGAGCCGCTGAAAGTTCTGACTCCCAGGACTGTGTGGAGAAGCCTCTATGACTGCTTTTCCATGTGATACTTCATGTTATTCTGTGGTGGGATCAGGTCAAGCATGTGCGCTAGCAGAGGTGATGGGATAACATGAGTGTTTTTGTTGGGACTGAGCTGTGTTAGAAATGTTGGACCTTTGTTAGAGATTTACCTTCTTCTATGAAGTGAAATAGGAGGCAAGTTCTTGAGTAAGTCCATTGTTTCCTTGGTTTTGGGGAGGCTGGGAATGGCTTTTCTGGCATGAGTATATGGCTCCATGGACTTAGATGCAAGGTCTGGAGATTTGCTCCTATGCTTGATGGCAGTGTTTACCGTTGGGCCAGGTGGACCTTTTATTGTAGATGTCCGTCTGCCCAGGTGTTAGTCTCTTAAGGTCTTTATTCTAACCAGTTATATTCAGATTGACTCCTTTTTTTTCTGTCTTGGATTTCCCTCTTTCTCCTGGAAAATACCTGTGCCACCAGGGGATACTAATCTGTTCTCTTTGGCCCCTTTTGAAAATCTACCATTTTCATGATGATGAAAATCTTTTTCTTATAGGAAGGGAAAGAAGTCCTTAATTGAGTTAGCTACCTGAGCCTTATGCTGGCCTGAAAGTCTAGTGTCCTCTTGTTCTACTCCTTATCCTCTGTGTGCAGCCGGGACCCTGGGTGCTGTAGCTACCTGTGAAGCTAGGCTGCCTGCTATAGATAGGCACAAGTTTTTGTTTTGCTTCGTTTTTCATGTTTGCTTTTTGGGCAGGGTCTGGCTTTGTAGTGCAGGGCTGGCCTGGAACTCACTATGTAGTCCAGGCTTGCCTTAAACTCACAGCAGTCCTCCTGCCTCAGCTTCTTCAGTGCTAGGATTATAGGCATGTGTCAGAATGCCTAGCTTAGGCCCACATTTTAGAAATGTTGATGCCTGTTTAGGAATGGAACAGAGTGCTAGTGGAACTCTAGGTGGCTGTAGATGCTCCAGGGTATTGAGACAAAAGGGGTTTCCTCTGGAGCAGGGTGGTTTCTGCTCCTTGGCTGCTTTGGCCAGAGGGGAGGAAGATTTGTGAGACTCTGAGGAAAACCATTTTTTGTTTTTCCTAGATAGTTTCACCCAAGGACGTGCATCCATAATTTGGAGGGTAGTAGGAGTAGTGGTAGGACTCTTGGCTATGAAAACTTCTGAAAGTGAGGCTGTGTTTATGTTGCGGGCACTGGACTGCAGCCATTTTTCTTCAAGCTTTCAGGGCTCATCTTTTCATAACCTGGTTCCTGCTTTTTTCTCGAGCCTCACAACCCCCCTCTTCGTCTCTGCCCTGGTTCTCCTCACCGAAGGCTACCTTCTTACAGTCCACCTTTATATGTGGTGGTTGCTCTGCCTGTACACTGATTATTTCTACATGTCCTCTGGCATTCTACTTGAGTCACCTTGCCTGGGAAGCTTTTCCTCATCCCCAGCTGGGTTATGCTTACCTCAACAGTGCACTGATCAGATATATTATACTTTCAGTTATTTTTCTATCTTCCTACTGGACTGTGAGTTTTGTGATGGCAGAAACTAGACCTGATCCTTCTTTGCTCCATCATTAGGGTCTGGTACCGAGTTCACAATTCAGTGTGTGTTCTGTAAATGAGTAAATATTGGCAAGGAATTATTCCTGTCTCCCCACCTAACAGCTGTGCTGCTGACTTACTCTTTTAAGTAAGTAAAGGCACTGTAAAAAAAAAACTCTTGGGGCTGGGATTTAGCTCAGTGGCATAAGTACCTACCTGCCTTGCAAGCAGATGGTCGTGAGTTCGATGCCCGGTACCGATAAAAAGAAAAAAAAAACCTCTCATATTTTCTTTCTTTCTTTTTTAATTAATTAATTAATTAGTTAATTTTTTATCGGTACCGGGAATCAAACTCACGACCATGTGCTTGCAAGGCAGGCGCTTATGCCACTGAGCTAAATCCCCAGCCCCTGTTTTTTTTGGACAGGGTCTCACTATGTAGTCCAGGCTAGCCTCAAACTCATGACGATCCTCCTGCCTTAGCCTCCCAAGAACTTGGATTTCAAGCATGGGCTACTATGCCTGGCTTCAAATTATCTAAATATTGCCCTTTATACATACTAGTTGGAACTATGTAACAGAAAGAAGCAGAGACACAGGATGGGGCTGTTGTTCTGAGACCTCATCTGCCCTGCTAATATCTGCCTCTTTGGGTAGAGAAGAGGTCATTACAACCAGAGAGAGTCTTTATTAGTAAATGTGAACAGTAATTCCAAACCTCTGGATTATACCTAAGCAACTCCTCTGGCAGAATTTTCTGTCTTGTGCACAAGTTAAGACTGCCTGACTTTATTTTTAATTTTGAGACAAAAGTCTTGCTAAGTTGCCCCTAGGTGGGATTCAGACTTGTAGTGCTTCAACCTTAGCCTCCCAGAATGCTGGGATTACAGGTGTGTGCCACATGCCTGGTGCACAAAGCATGGTGGAGAACCCTAGCTGGTGTGTATGTATGTGTGTGTGTGCATGTGCACGGGACACATGTACACATGCTTGTATGGGGTGAGAGACAGGCGGAGTGCTGGATGACACGAAGCAAGATTCTGCCTTGAATCTTCAGTTCACAGATAGACACTTTTTCTTTTACTACTCTGGATAACAAATATTACTAGCTTTTTTAGGATCCTTGCTAAGTTCAATTGGTAATCATCCTGAGACTCGGTTTTAGCAAAAACAGGATGTGATGAGTTTCATTGTCTCTGAAGCCTTTTCCCTAAAACCTCAAGACTTTGCTCCAGCTCATCAGCTCTATCTCTAGCACCTGAGCTGCTGCACAGTTCCTAACCATGTGCAATCTTTATTGTTGTTATCATGAAAAAACTAGAAAAATACCCATTTGCTAAATGCCAGTGAAGGTCTTTGTCTTGCACCTGTACTTATAAAGGGTGAGATTTATTGGTCTCTTTGTGTGAGGAGAAAGAGTGGTTCTGATTATCAGATTGTGCACCAGAGACAAGTGCTTATGTAATCAACAAACTGTCTTGGTGTCAGAGTACGATTGTGTTGGAGATAAACTGTGAAAGAAGAAAGCTGCTGGTTGCTGACATGCTATTGGCACCAGATTTCCAGGGCTGCTTCTTGTAGTTGTTAGTGTTTGTGATGAAGCCAGCTCTTCCCTGGACAAAGCCCTTGTGTGGATAGGGGGTCTCAGCACCCAGCAGTGTTATCAGTCAGGGTCAAAAGCCCCTCGCCTTGTGGTTTCTGAGTCTGGAGAAGTGGGAGTTAATCTGTAATCCCTCAGTGAAAGGAGTCACAGAACACACATTAATTCTTCCTCTCACCTCTCCTGCTTTAAGTGGTTAAGGTCTCTGAGCTCTGTTTAGCCTGTGAGCTCTGGTTCTTAGTTTAATAATACATGGCTTGCTTGAGACTTTCATTGTGAGGATGTGAAAGCTTTTAAAAATATATATATTAACCCAAGTAGGAAGGGCCTTAAACATGAAGCATAGCATGAAGGGTATAAATTAGGCCTAATAGAGAACTTCCCAGTATTAATTTTATAAAATTTTCTCTCTCTCTCTCCAAATTTATTATATGTTTTATAGGTTCTAAGTGTCAGGTAAAGGTACTAACTTTCTTAATTTTCCCCCCTGGTCATCTAGTATCTTGACAATGCTGTTAAGAAGTGTTTCATTTTTGGAGGGATGAGTGTTACAGGACTTTTCCTTACAAGACTATATCTAATCGAACCAGTGTTTAAGCCCCACAAAGGAGCCACCTTTGAGCTCCTTTAGGAACTAAGCTATATGCCAGGCCTGTTTTCTTTGGAAGCATGGACAGAGCGGGGGCTGACCTAGGCTGGTGCCTCGCAGGCTGATGATACTGGGATTGCTGAGCCTGCGAGTAAAAGCCCAGGAAGGCGCTGCCCAAGGGTGGGAAGAGATGGGCCTGAAGAGATGGGCAGTGGAGAGTCCTGCAGCAGTACACCTGAGTGACCCACAGTTTTCCTTTATGATGCTGTGAGTTTCCTGCCCCTCATCCTGGGGTTTTCCTGGGGCCTGGGGGAAGTGCTTGTGGTGCTTTCCTAAGCTTTCTCTGCAAGGGAGCAAGGCACTTAGCACTGGTGCCATTGGTTCACTGTGTGAGTGAGACTTTCTTGAGGGTCTACCTTGTCTGAGTTACTCTTGGAAGGAGCTGAAAGGAGTAGACTTGACCTTGCCCTAGGAAAATAAAGATATAAGACTTGACATTTGGACTCTGGAGCTTGCTAAGAAGCGAGAGTGACTGTGGGCTTCCTTTCCATAAGTAGTCCTGACTCTAAGCCCTAATCTTCCAAGTCCTGGAAGCAGAAGAGAAGCTGTGCCAAAGTGGGCAGTGGCAGTGCCTGCTCTGAAGGTGGACAGGCCCCTTGGTACTAGCTGAGGAGGGTAAGGGGAGACTGCCAAGAGCATAAATTCTGCGAAGACACGGTTTTTATATTGTTCTTAGCTGCCAGATCCCTGGTTCCTAGAATAGGATCTAGCTCACAGTAGGCTGTCTGAGAGTAGTTGTTGACTACTTGAAAGGAGGAATCTTCTGTACTCCAGGATTAAAGCTGCAGCTCCAGGGCATTTGTCCAGTGCTGCCCCACTCCTGCCCTCAGCCCATCAGCCTTTTCTTCTCCTCGACTCAGGCCCTCCCTCTGCTGGGCAGTTCTTTGGTCTCCCAAGCAAGGAAAGGGTGTGGAGGTGCCAGCCGGGTGGGCATGCTGTGGGTTAAAGCTTTGCGAAACAACAGTGTAGTTAATCTTTCTAATTTATTTTCCTTTTAGACCATGGGAAGTCTGTAGGCAGCAGCTGTTACCCAATTAAAATACAGATTAATATAAAAACAGTTTCTGGAATATAAAATAGAGTGGCTGTGTCCTTACACTTCCTTAAAATACCACCTAATAATGACTTGATGAACTACAGAAACCCACCTAGAGGAACTCAGCGTTTTTAAAATGAAAATTTCTTCCCTAAAAGGTGTGTATTACCATTCCATGTAAGTCACTTTGAGAAAATAACCTTCCCTCTTAGAGCTGGCAGTTTCTGTGAGTTGGGTATTTGGTATTCATTAATGTAATTATAGTTTAATTGGAGTTTTAAACCTCTTCCTCTCTACTTGAGAAAAAGTTGTTTGCAAGCAAGCCTGAGATACTACTCTTTCTGGAAGTAGTCAGGGCCTGTTTGGCATGGTAATTTCTAGTTTCATTTTTGGAGGGATGAGTGTTATAAGACTTTCTCCTACAAGGCTATATCTGGTCAAACCAGTGTTTAAACCCCTGTGTTTCAGGTTGAGCTCCTTTAGGGACTAAGCTGTGTGCCAGGCCTGTTTGGTGTGGAAGCATGGACAGAGGCCTCCTGCCTTAGATTCTGGTAGTCAGTCTATCCCTAGTCTGTGCTAGAAGGATATTTTTACTTAAAAATAAAACAAAAAAGCAAAACAAATTTACTTGAACCTAGGTCCGCCTAGGTAGGGCTCAGGCCTGTGAGTCAGAGAGTCTGTAGGCCAGATTTGACACATTGGATCTTTTCATCTTAGTTTCTCATTGGCTAGAGGTGACTTTTTCCTTCTTGATTATGTGGCATTGAGACAGGGTATGCAGAGTGAAGGGTAGATGCCCACAAGCTTCACTGGTGTGATGGAGAGTGTGGGGGGGGGGAAGTGCTGGACATCGAGGCCCAAGGATGGATGGATTTGAAGCCAAGTGGCCCTTTGTGCCCTTTATGCTCACACTCCCCAAGTTTTACAGGAACTTCTGTGAGGCCTGGAGGTGTAATTTGTGGGAAATTATAGAGCCTGTTGAATACAGAAAGTATATAATTTCTTTTTCTCAAAGTGAAAGCCAACCCAGGTTTGAGACATATCCCAAGCGTATGTATGTGTACCCATATCTCAGGTTAGGCTTTTGTAGGACCATTCACATTGGTGTCTTAGGACTTTATTCCAAGGCTCCTAGTCGGGTTCTGAGCCTGAAGTAGTGCCAGGCCTTTACACTTGAAGGAGAAAAATAGAAAAGAAAGGGGCTATTCCAGCTTTGAGTCCCTACATCCTGGTTTTCTACCCAAAGCCTGTTTCTCTTTCTTCTCAGCTCACTGGGATTATTCAAGCCATGGTGGATGGCCAGCCAAGCCTGCAGCAAGTGCTAGAGGTAGGTCAAATAACCTTTAATTCCTGACCTCTGACCCTTTTCTCCTGCCTTTCTCTCCCTCCCCTCTTGAGAATGTAGCTGTGTAATTTGACTATGATTATGGCTTGATTAGAATAACATTTGCTGTCACATCAGTGACATGCTGTTGAGAGTATTGAACCATTGATCTGTCGTCTCCAGCTGTTACCGTCAGGGTTACTGACAAGATGTCCGAGTGCTGCCAGGAGCCAGGCATAGGGCCCCCACCTTGCCTGGCCTGTGGCCCTGTGCTGCCAGCTCTGGGCAGCCTGTACTAGGTGGGCTGGGGCTAGGGGAGCTGAGCTATATTGTAGGACTAGCCCTGGGGACTGGAGGTGTTTTGTTTAGCTTTAGTGTTGGCTTCTTGTGGCATGTGAACACTTCATTAACTCACCCAGAACTCCCCATCGATGGCTTTTGTTTGCTGTCAGCTCCTGTAGGAACTGTGGCAGCCCCACTGCAGTTTGCTGCTAGATGCATGGTGCCTGTCAGGGGTGCAGGGGCTGCACTGGGTAATGATTCTTAATCAGAATAATTACAACAATTGCCTATGTGAGGGAAATCAAATTAAAGACTTTAGAACCCTTGGCAGAGAACACATTTCTAGGGTATTCTCCTCGGGGAGCTGGAAAAGGTTAAGGCACTGCTTCTTGTGCTCTAGCCTGCAGGAGCAAGGAAAGGCAGTGTTTGTCTCCCACCCAATTTGGGATGGGGGTTTTGAGAGGGGGAAGAAGATTCCCCCCACGGTCCTCTGTAGAGGGGAAAAGAAAAAGGCCCATCGATCTCATTAGGTGCTTTATTTATTTTTAAGACTAATAGCCCAAAGCCCAGACCCTATCAGTGTACAGGAGAAGCCAAGTATGTATCTGAAGAAATAGCAGAGGAGGTAGCAGCTTCAAGGAGACAAGTAGTAGTGGGCAGAAGTACCCAGATCTCTCTCTAGCCAAGAATCCTTTCCCATGGGTGAGAGAGGTACAGACTGAATTTTCCGGCACCCTTCAGAATGGAGCAGGGTGCCAGAGGCAGGTGGCAGCATGTCCTCCTGTACCTGGAGTCGGGAAGCCCAGCTCTGTTAGTCTCTGGTTAGGCCAGGTTAGGGTGCCTAAGCAGTCACTTGGGAGAAGCTGTGGTCTGAAGGTCCTCTTGGGCCCACTGATCCTGATCTTGAAGGGAGATCCTCTGCTGTGACTGCAGGAGGTCCTCAATGTAGACTTCTCCATTTAAGAACAGACTCAAGGCGCAAGAGGGGCCCATCCTCCCTTGTGTCTGGGTTAGTAGCATCCCCAGCTAGAGCCTGGTCCCTGGGGTTGGGCTGTTGAGGAATGCATGTTTTCTCTGTGGCCCACCTGAGGAAGAGATATGGACTGCCGGAAATAGCCTGCTGTAAATCCCAGGGTAGTCCTAATTTTGCTTTCCTGGATGCTGCTCAGAGGATTGTGAGTCTTCCCAGGAAACTACTTTCTGCACTTCTGCACACTTTCTGGGTGGGGAGGGAAGATTTCTGGCTTTAGCTTGACTAAGGGTGTTTTTGGTGAGGACAGGAGACCATACTGGTCCCATTAGCCCTGAGGTGGTTATTGAGCTAAAGAGCTTTCATTTATTTAATCAGAGAAGGGAAGCAGGACAAGCCTGATTCCAAGTGTAGTATTACTTCCTTGGATAGGCTCATAATAAAGTGCTCACTATATCTGCTGTATGAAGGCCTGGTCTTATTGCGTGTGACCTCTCTTTCCCATTCCAGTGGTGGAAAACCTATGGCGCTTGTATTGTTTGTTTTTCTTTTAGATAAAAGGTGCTAATGTGTGAGTTATTCTTTCTAAACTAAAACCTCAGTATTCAGGTTTAATGGCAGTGTTGTCCCTTTGTGATAAATCAGTGGGTTCTGGGTGGCATTTTGGGCACTGGTCTCTTAAAGGTTTGCTGTCACTGTCTGGCCTGTTCTGTCAAGTGGTCTTTTCCCACTATGCAAGAATTGGGGCATTGGAGAACTCGCTTGCTTATGGGGCACTTACTTGGTGAGCTACACCAAGGCTGTGCTGAATTAGGGAGTTCCTCTCTCCATGTGTAGAATCAGCTTTACTTTCTTTAGGTAACCCTGAGAAGGGGTAACTGCGTGTCAGTGTGTGTGTGCACAAGGGCTGAGCTGAAGTGACTGGGGTGGCAGGCTGCGACTAAGTGCTGGGGAGAATCTTGAGCTGAAGACAATTCTCTAGCATACCAACTGTGAAGAAAGTTTGGAGACCACATAGTCTGCCCAGTATAGTGCTAGGGAGTAGCTCTGACACTTGGGAGTCAGACTGCTGGAGCCGTGGAACAAGATAGGCTGCTTGGTTTACTCAAGGATCACTGTGGCTTCTCACAGGTTTCTGGAGAGGCAGCCTCCACCTGCTAGGAGTAATTTTACTTAGATACCCGTGGACTCCCTTACCTGCTGAGCAACAAGGCCCTTGGCATTCTCCTTTAACTAGTTCTCAACCTCTTTGCCTGTTCCTCTTTTCTATGCTCTGAAGACTTTTCTTACACAAATTTTACCCATTCTTGTTCTGTCGGTGAACAGATTCCTGCTGAATAGGATGTGCTGGGGTAGGGATTATGGCGGTGCATGAGGAAGAGCCTCTGCATTTATGATGTTTGAAGTCGGATAGGGAAAGCAGACATTAAAGAGATAATTTCTTCTCAAATGCAGAATTATTATGCCTATAACTTTGCTTCTACCCATAGTAGCCCTTCCTATTCTTGGTCCTGTAACTCTCTGGTCACTTCTCCATTGTTCAGTTATTTTATGATGGTCCACCTTTCTCCCATTCTCAGCCTACTGTCTGTTTGTGGTAGGCACTTAACACATTATCACATTTAATTTTCAGAACAACTCTGTAAGGTGAGTCATCCCACCCTGTTTTATAGATGAAGGAAACAGGTTCAGAGGGGTTAAATGACTTTTAAATGACTTCCTGTCTATGACACAGCCAGGATATGGAGAAGCTAAGGGCTGGAACCCAGGTGTGTCTGACTTTCAATACTGTATTTTTAACTATAATGTGATTATAGCCTTAAACAGTAATATTTCTGCATAAGCAGACGCTGTGGTGTGATCTGCTACATTCCTTCCCCATCCCTGAGATCATTTGAAAAATACAGTGCTTCATAAATTCTTTATGATAATTCTCTTGTTATAAACTAATTTTAGTATTTGTACTTCCCAGTATGGATGCAAATAAAACTGGTCTGAGGGATGAAGGGAAAGCTAGACATCAATTGCGTTTTTTTTCTCTGTGCAGGAATTATGCTTAGCCTCCAAAATATTCTGCTGAATTTGAACCCTTAGCCAGAAGAGGAGAAATACAAAGTTTGGAGCCAGTTTATGAGTTCTTAGCAGCCACATCAGGCAGTACAATCCAGATGCCAGGATGGGGGTCTGCTCTGGCTACAGGGTTCTCCTCTGACAGTGAAAATTACCTCACCTTTATTTGAATAACCAAGTTCATAGATTTGATTAGTAGACATTTGGCGGATGGGTGTAAGGAATAAATGAATGAACAAAGCTGCATGCTGAGTCCCTGCTTGGGGCCTCCCTCTAGTCTATTCCCGGTCCAGAGCAGCCTGACTCTGCCTTTGTCTGAGCATCAGTGAGGGAGAGGAGCAACCAGGAGACTGAACTGCTGGGACCTGGGGCAGGCTCCCGAACTGGGAGGCTGGAGGGTTCTTTTCTCCCACACCCTTGCGCTGTGGCATTTTCCTGAAGAGTTCATCCTCCAAGTGCCTCCGTGGTTACCAAGCCAAATCTGAGAGCCCAGTGCAGCGCTAAGGTGGGGTAAGATTACAGTGTTCTCTTGCTCTGATTACAAGCAGCTTATCCGCGTTTCACTGTTGTGGCTTTTCAAGAGTTCGGGAAACGGGAAAAAAAAAGATAAATCTCATCTGTTCTTGTACTTTTCAGAGGGTCGATGAGTGGATGGCAAAGGAAGGCCTCTTAGACCCAAACGTCAAGTCAATTTTTGTCACCTGTGGAGACTGGGACTTGAAAGTCATGTGAGTATGAGAGGGGCTCTTTGCTGTGGTGCTGAGAATTTGTGGGGCCAGGACTTGCCTTTGGCAGGGTGTAAATGTTCAAGCCTATAGGATATCTGGGGCAGGGGTTCCTGGGTTTGTGGGCTTTCAGGACCAGAGGAAGGCTGGGAGCCTGCCTTCTGCTTCTGTGGAGCTATGTTGGGCACAAGTCAAGGGCCTTTCCTGGACTGCTATTATTTTTATTTATATATTATTTTTGAGACAAGATCTTGCTCTGTAGTTCACTGTGTAATCCAGGCTGGCCTCGAACTCGCGGCTATCTGCCTCCCTCAACCTCCTGAGTCCTGGGATTACAGGAGTGTACCATCATGCCGCACCTGGACTGCTGTTGTTGGGGCCTTCCTGCCTCTGCCTGATCTTGTTGCTCACAACAGCCCTTTTGATTGCTGGGCTGCATGTTATTTTCCTAGAAAGTAGGCCTTGAAAAGGGTCTTACGTTTTTAAAATCATATACATTGTGCTTACTGTTCTAAATGCTCTAGAAATAGTAGCACATTTAGCAGTCCTATTTTTTATTTCTATTTTTTTAAGCGGAAATTTGCAATATTTATTTTTCTGCTTACCTCAGCATATGTTAAGATAGTTGTTTTTTAAGTTTAATGTGTTTTAATAGCAAACTTGATCGGCACAGAAGCTAGACAACATTAAAAACAACTTGCATGTAACACGATGCAGGTAGAAAAGTACAATGAACGGGTACAAACACTTCAGTTGCTATCAGCAAGAAATGTACTTGTTTTGTGTTTGATTCAGCAGCACAAATAGAATGATACAGAGACTAGCATAGCCCCTGAGCAAGGAAGACATGCAAAATCCTGCTCACTTTTAAAAAGGCATCAGAGAGGCTTTTTGTGTTTTTGGTATTTTGGTGTTACTGGAGACTAATCCTAAAACTTGCATATTGAGCTCCATTCCCTTTATTTTATTTGCATGAGTAGTTTCTTTTCTTTTAACCCTTTAAAAATTGGTTATACAGATTAGTGAGTTTCATTTTGGCAGATTTGTGTTTGCACATAACATATTTTGATAATTTTCACCCCATCCCTATCACTCTCCTTGTCCTGCCCTCCCCGCTAGTTTCAGAAATTTGGATGGGGGGCTTACTGTGTATAATATACTTTGCTCACATTCATGGCCCCTATTACTTATCCTTATGTCCTTCCCCCTATTATTTCTATTTTAAAGCTAAGGAAATTAAGGCACAGAGAGGTTAAGTAACTTGTCTGAGGACACACAGAACCAGAATGAAACCTAAGCAATCTGACTTTGGGGTCCTTGCCCTTAACTTTTGGGTTGTATTACCCTTTTATCTGCTGTGCAAGACCCTGGTGATCCAGTTAAGAGCCTGGTAGCAGGATGAGAAAGGGCTGTTTCTAGGGAGCTGCCCAAGCCTCTAGCCTCTTTTCTCCTTTGTGTCCATTACTTTTTCTGCTTTGTCTCCTGCTCCTGCCCTGGGTGTGGACAGCGGACGGGTTCCTTTGCCCGGTTGACACTTTCAGCATCTTGGTGCCTCATGGATACCTGGCTTCAGACAATTCCCAGGGAATTAAAGGAGGGTGGAGGTGGTGGGGGCAGTGTTTGCTGAGGATTGATAGAATCAATACCTCTGTGTTCTTTGTCACTGAAGGCAGCAGCAAGCAATGTGTGTGTGCATGCGAGCTTTTGAACATAAAGTGGGCATGGGGGGAAGGGAGTTGTCTATCAGGAGTGCCATTTCCTACCAAATCAGGTACTATCTTCTCACCAAAGTCCTTTTTATGCCATTTGGATACTGAGTTGAAGTGTGCTGTTGGGCCCTGTCTCTGTAGAGGAGTCAAGGGAAAGAATAAGCCCCAGAACACAGAAGCACTTACGTACATCTGCCGTGACTGTTGGAGTGGACACTTAGCACACCCCTCTAGGTCTGCTGTTTAGGGCCTCTGTCCTCCCAGTGACTCACAGGCTGAGACTGGAAATGGGTCTGAATCAGAAATCCATGGAGAAGGTCAGGAGGAGAAGGCTGTTATTCTTAGGGGCGTCCAGGATAGCTTTGTGCCTTTGGAGCCGGGAGAGGTCTTACGTGAGGCTTTGCAGTCCTGGGGCAGGGTTCATGCTGACATTCGAGTTCCGGGGCTTTGAAGGCCTAGGAGGAAGGTGCTTTGGCAGAGGTCTAGTTCTTCCAGTAGCATCACTGGGGCTCCCATTCTCTCCCTTTGGTGTGCTTCTCTTCCTGGTGCCCACATGTCAGTCTTGTGCTGTAATTGTGAATGACACACACATATATGTATGTATGAAAACTTCCCTGTTTGTGGGGCTGGACCACTTGGCCTGGCCTCCTAAGCATGGAGTTGGTCTGCCTATGAGATGGAGAGGTGGTTTCTGAGGGTGTTATTCATCTTTGGGCTAGACCTGTACTGATCTAAAGCACTAGGCTAACCCTTGGGCCCTGCATTGGGCCCAGGACAGATGTTGGTGAGTTGGGACACTTCTCTATATCTCTGAGAAATGATGTAATTGAGATGATGGATTGCACTGTGGAATCCAAGTGTATATGAAAGGAAGTAAAGTTATAATGAACTCACACCTTACATTATTTGGCCTTCCTAACCCCTGGCTCTCATAGGAGGTGGTGTCTTACTTTTGTAGATGAAACAAACAAAGCAAAATGCAAACCCATCAGGCTCAGAAAGGTAAGAACTCATAGCTAAATAGAACTGAATTCTAAGGCCACATAGTTTCCAGAAGGGATGGTTATGATGGGCTTTTGTGGCTGGTTTGGATTTGGATGGATAAGGCCAAGCTCTGGAGAATGGCGTGGAGGAGGAAGCAGCTGTCAGGTGGCAGGATGGGGGAGGAGGGCTTCGCGACTGCCTTTCAGAAGCAGGACTCTGCATAACTGCTGGGAAGGCTCTTAATTAAATGTGTAACAAAATAAAAACAGCCAGAGAGGAAACCTAAGTAGTGTGGCGTGACAGTGCACAGCTTATCAGTGTTCCTGGAACCTCTCGTCAGGGGCTCCTCAGTGGCTCTCTGCAGAGCCATCACCTTTTTGTGTGCCTGGTAAAAGCTGCTGATGAGTCTGACAAGGGCGCTGTTAAATTGACATTCACAAGTTGTTAGTATGTGGCTTACTTCTTATTTTGACATCCATTTCCAGGTTTTACTAAGTCTGAGGAATTCAGCAAATATTTTCATTTAACACTCTAGTTTCTAGAAGCCGCGGCTCCTCCTCACTGTCCTTACTCTCTCCCCTCTCCCGCCCCTACCAGCTAGGTTCACATCACTTTTGTTGAAAAGGCTTGATTAATGTAGCTCTGAGAAATGGGAACTGAAGTGGCAGCAGAAATATCACCAGAAAAAAAGAAATCTGCTCCCATCCTGACAGAATCATTTCGTGTCCACCTTTTGTCAAATCCTGATGAGTTGATACTCCCATGATTACAGCTTTGATGCTCTAGCCACAGATCCTGCTAGGGTGGGTTTCAATTCAGTGGGTACAGATTTAATTTTTTACTTTAAACATTTTAAAGAAACAATGCTTGGTTTGGGTTTGGCCTTTGACAGCTCACCTTCCCTACCCAGCCTGCTTTGTCCCCTTACCTGGGTCCTGACGCTCCTCTTTGGGGTTAGTGTTGTTTTTCTGTTACCCATCTTGGCATGAAGGGAGACTAGAGCTGGTGGAGAGTGACAAGCGGAATTTTGATTTTAACAGTAGCTTGAAGACTGAAGTTCTGCAGCTGAATAGCACAGCCTGGCAGAGCTATGAGAGTAGACTGTGGGTCCAAGAGGAGGACAAGTCAGCGAGAGGGCAAGATCTGAGGCAGAGAGTGAGTTCGCATAGTCGAACACCGTATTCTGGGGGAGGATGCTGTACTCTAAGCCAGGGCCTGCTCAGAGCTGGTCCAGAGGAGCTTCATCTTAGTCCAGCTTCGCCTTATTTTGGAATAGAATTTCTCTTCTCATGTGTAAGTGCTGGCTTCAGTTCATTCCCAGCCTTCCTGATGGTGTGTACATATAACACCTCTCTGCCTGTGCTCTGCAGAGGTGGACCTGGAGCACTTTGGGTTTTAGAAGTACTGGAGATAGAACTGAACTTGCCCAGAGTACACTGCTTGCTGCTGGCATGGAGAGTGTGTCTTCAGCAGGATCTACTCAAGAGCAGGACTGCTGGTAATCGGGAATGCAGGGCACAGTGACAGAACCACACATCTGGAGAGCACTGTGGAACAGGGGCAGTCCTGGGGTGGCGAGAGATGGCTGAAAGGATGGACCAATGACATACTGGCTGCAGGTCAGGACAGGTCCTTTGTCATCATTCAACAGAGTTGACCACTTCTTGAAATATTCCTATCTTTACTTTGTGTCTTCTGATTCTCTAGCTTCTCCTTTTTAGTCACCTTCGCAGCTGTCTTATTCTTACTTTTAAGTGTAGATGTTTCTTAAATTTCAGTGTTGCTCTGTTTCTGTCTTAGCTGTCTTTTCCTTTTATTCAACACACTTGAGCTTCTGTGTTAATCTCATCTTTTGCCAAAGCTTTAGCTGTCCTCTGTCTGCTTAGGTCTTCTAATCTTTTTCTCCGAGTGAGAAATGAGAACTGACAAGGCAGAGAGATCCTGCTGGAGAGATCGGCTCCAGCTGCCGTTGGAACTCCAAGCCTGCATATCCAGCTGCCTTTCCTACAGCTTCACCTGGATGGCCATGAGGTGCCTACAGCTGTCACCTTTCTCTCCGTAGCTGTCCGTTCCTCCAGCTCTCCCGCCAATGACGACTGGCCAGTTGCTCTGCTGTCCTGTCAGAAAACTGAGAATCATCCCTTGTGTAGTCACAGCTAGTAAATTCCCAAATCCTGTTGATCGTACCTCCCAGAGGTTTCTTGAATTTATTCCCTTCTTTCCTTCTCCACAGCCACTGCTCTGGTTAAGATGATTGTATTTTTCTTGGATCACTACAGAAGCCTTTGAACTGGTGTCTTTGATTCCAAT